TAGTTAATTTGATACTAATATTGATATATTTTTGTCAAATTTTTATGATATCTTCAAACATATATTTTATTCACAAATAAAAACATCATCGCTTTCTCAAAATCACATAAAACGATATTATTACATCGACTGAGATAAAGAATAAAATGAAATATTAAAATCACGATGTATCTCGCTGTATTGCGCGAGTACCCTTCTAGTTAATTAATTAAATCATCGACGGAATTCCGATGAATATATTTGCCGCTGACTTAATTTGCCGATTTAATTAAGTTTTAGTCTAATTTTTTATATTTAATTGGAAAAATATTAGCGGGGGACGAGATCCGTCAGTGATTACAAATCCACAAGCGGAGGTTTCGTATGATAACATGAATTCGCCGGTAATCAACCAATGGTCAATTTTAGGGCGAATTTTTTCGTGGATCAAAACTTTTTTATAGTTTTATTTTGGTGACGGATTGCAAGAGATTTTGAAAATAAATTCGAGAAAGAATTCTCATTCATTGGATTCATTTATATATAAAAGGTAATACAAAACTACGCATTTGTATACACGAGAGTAGAATATAAACGTACAGTACACTGACGTAGAAATATAATTTGCATTTTATTTATTATCAATTAATTAAAATAGCGATGGCGTGATGACCTAAAAGGCACGTTCTAGCTAACGATAGAGGAAGACGTGAATTAGAACAAAAAACATATCAAATTGAAATTCATATTGTTTGTAGCATGCACATCTACTCAAACTCGCAATCAATTAGAACTTGGACTATTGAATCCATTGTTGGCCTTTTATTTCTGTCATTCTCCACACAGCTAAGACCGATCTCAACCAGTTTTGCAGCTTGCTGCCTACTAAATAACCCTTCCAACCTTGGATCAATAATATCTTCAATCCATAACGTATTTTCTTTCTGGATCATTGTTTTCGTTACCTTTATAAACCTCATAAGCTCTGATTCTTCCTCTTCTCCGTCGTGCACGATCATACTAGAGAGTCGAATTCCCCTTGCCATTTCCAAAACCACAACCCCGTAGCTGTACACATCCACTTTTGCTGTGATAGGCAGGTTATGAGCCCATTCTGGAGCCATATATCCTTTTGTCCCTCTGACCCTAGTGAACTCCGAATTTTGTCCACCTCTCTCAAACAACTTTGCTAGACCGAAATCTGCAATCTTTGGTTCAAATGCATGATCTAAAAGAATGTTTTCCGGCTTTACATCACAATGAATAACCCACTCTAGGCACTCATGGTGTAGATAAGCCAAACCTTTTGCGATGCCTATTGCAACTTTAAACCGTTCTTTCCATTGGAGAAAACTTGAGGAGAACAATCTTTTGTCGAGAGAAAGATTTTCCACGTACTCGTAAACTATAAGTCTGTGCTTTTTCTCCAAGCAGAATCCCCACATTCGCACTAGATTCATGTGATTGATTTGGCCGATAGTGCTCACTTCTGCCCAAAACTCTCCTCCTCCGGTCACATCTCCCAGCCTTTTCACAGCCACCACCCTTTCGTCTTCAAGAATTCCTTTATACACGGCCCCTGAGCCTCCTCGCCCTATCTCCACCTTAAAGTTTTGTGTCGCCTTCGTCAGTTCTTGATAACTAAAACCCCGAAACTGGCTTGATATCATACGGTACCCATCTTCTAGGCTCACTAGGAGCGCATTTCTTCCATAGAAAAGCCACCACCCCAATACGATAATCAAAACTTCAACCACGCCAATTGCTATAGCAAACGAGTAAAGATAAACCCATTTCACCTTTCTGGCAGATGATTCATACATAGATGGAGAACCCACCATAACTGTGACATCTGAACATGCATCCAAAGAAGTAGTAAGGATTGAGGCAGGTTCTTGTGTTTCCATGCCTTTTGGTACTTTCAAGTAGATGGTAACTGCTGGGAAGTAAGGATATCGGTAGCCATTGAAAAGGGCACTTTTAGTAAAGCAAAAACCTTCACCTGTTAGTCGATAATTATATGCTTCACAACTGCAATCTTCCAAGCAGAGGTCCCTACAAGCTTCGAACGAAATGGGTGAACTGAAGTTTAGATCAAAGCCATAGTAATCTGTATGAGGCAGTTCCAAAAATCCAAAGCTTGTAGAGTTTCCACATGTTTTGTTGAAAGGTGGCATACAACCCTGAGTTAAATCAGTAGGATCACTCCATTCATAACCAGGCGGGCATGAACATTCGAGTTTTTCTCCGTGTGTACAAATCCCATTTCTCCCACAAATTCCATGAACATTACATGGTTGTGCAATGGCCTGCCATGTAATCAACCATAATCCACTCGACTCATTCAAGCTATAAACTCTGAGATTACCATCATAGTCCATGGTTAACCTCCTCTTGATCCCAAAACCCATATCTGAAGCACTAAATCGCCACCTATCGCTTGAAATGAACACACCCATGCCATCAAAAACTGCAATTCTGCTACTGTTATAAGAGGTTCTTCCATAATCCCAAACACTGAAACTTGGATTAGGACTTGGCCAATACACACTTGATATTTCTGGGCCATCGTAACTCAGTGTTAAAACATTATTGCTGTTGTAGTTCAAACTAAAATACCCAGATTGAAAGCTTCCTTTTCTGGAAGCAGATATCAAGCTTTTGCTCTTTGTTAGGGTTTGAGAAGGCAAAAGAGTATCAGTTGGATAATCAAAGCTTTGCCAAAGAATCTGACCTTTTCGGTTCTTCAATACAAGATTACCAGTATTAAGCAGCACTGCTCTATTTACATCGGTTGAGGTTGTGTTGGTCTGCCACACAACCATGCCATTCACATCGGTTAAAACCATTGCTCCATCTCTCTGAAACGTCACCTTCGAACCATGGCCATTGACAGGTGTGTTGCGGTTGGCCGTCCACACCACGGTGCGGTCCTTGGAGTTTGTGAACCATATTGCAAACCAGTGAGCGTTGGTCTGGAAGGAATAGAAACCACAGGTGAAAGTGTTGTCTGAGGAGGTTAAGAGTTGAGAATTTTCATCAATAGATAGAGAGGAGCCTCTTGGAAGGTGATCTTGATTAGTTCTTTTGGAAGCTGATGATTTGATGAAAGAACATAAGAGGAGGAGAAGGAATGTTGTTGTCATTATTTGCTTGTTGAAGATTTTTGGATAGAATTCTCCAAGTAGTTGCGTTATTGGATTATTAATATATATATATATATATATATAAGTGTTTGAATGCTTGTATATGGTTGATATCTTTTGATACGATCAAAGATTTCAACAACAAATATATTCTGGATACAAATTAATATTTATTTATTTAAGAATGTCAACTTAATTTGATGCAATTAAAATAATAGCCAATGTTTGAATGTAGACGATTTCATAAATGTTAATTTAAAGTAGAAAGAGTGGTTTTATGTTTATTTGGAATTAAAATATTATTTTTGTTTGATAAATTACATCAAGGCATTTTATTTGAGATATTTATAGAAATGATAAGAGTTCATTTATTATAATTTGAATATTTATGAAAGATGATTAAGGTTTATTAATTATAATCAGTACTTTATATTAAGAAATAATCAAAAAACTTCTATGAAATTACATATTCATCAAATTAAATGAACGGTTGAGATGGATTATACAAATATAAAATGTTGCATAATAATCCATCCATCTCTCTCTATATATATTTAAAAAAAACCAGGGTATAAAGCAGCCGAAAATCAAAAATGTATGCATCTACAACTTGTACATTTATGATTGAGACGACTTGTTCATATCAAAACACATCGTAACCGTCTGATTTCAGCAAAAAAAAAAAATATATATATATATATATATATATATATTATTGAACAAGTTGATGAGCCACTTGCATATATGTATTATAGGTAGATGTAAGAAGGATTGACCGGTAGCCATTGAAGATCAATTTAATTCAAAAGAATTTAAAAGCCACATGTGCATGGGTTGGATGTGAGGCCCCGACTTGATTGCTCCACTAAATCTTGTATAATAATCTAATATATCTTTTTCATATTCTACTTTGAAAAGAAATTAATTTGGTTTAATTTGAGTTATGGATGGTCCCCGTATCCTAACTATAAAAATGCAGAGTATCAACGAGAGAAATTTCTTTTGTAAATCCGTTGTTGATATTCCGTCGATCAAATGTTCGTAGATAATGCTGCTATCAGTGACGGATTTGCGAGAGATACTTTCAGTGACGGATTTGCGAGAGATACTTTCAGAGTGACGGATTTGCGAGAGATACTTTCAACGACGGATCAACGAGGGAAAATATTCAGCGACGGATCAGCGAGGGAACTTTCAGGGACTTTCAGCGACGGATTTTTCGTCGCTAATTTGTATTAATCGAAAAATAATTTTTTTGAAATTACATAATTGTTGTATTTATTTACACAAAACATGGCCATAATATAATAAACCAAAACTGTTAACAAATTAAAACTAACAAATTCATACGATTTAAAATATCTAATTCATACAATTTAAAATATCCAATTCATACAATTTAATCTTCAAATTCATATAATCTAACTACCGGGAGGTGGGAGGAAATGTATCATGACTGCCGCATAAACGCAACAAAATACTCCGATAAAGCGGCCTGTACGGCTAACGCAACAACTTGTCCGGCCTGTTCAGCTGACGAGGCAGCTTGTCTGGCCTCCAAATCTTCCCTATTCTTCCGTTCGGTTTCCAGTTCCTCCTCTATCTTTGTCAACTTCTCTTTCAACTCTGTTAGCTGTAAATATTCAATATTAGACAAAATCAGTAATTTGTTCGCAATTTTATTAATGAGAAAGTTTATGACAATATAACCAACATACTTCCGCTCTTGACTCGTATGATGACCCGGTGATACTATTACATCTACCAGTCATAGCATAAGAGGGATCCTGGGTGGTCCTGAAACCAAAGATGCGGCATTTCCTCCGTCCTCCAACACTCTGCTTTTAAAGAGATGCCTCATCAGGGGGGAGCTGTCGGCACTAGACTATGAATCACCCCTAAGCGATTGAAATCGCTCTTATCGTTCACCAAAACAAAAATAGGTAATGTTATATATGTAGAAATTTCAGCAGCATAACAGTTGTAAATCAAACATAACAAATGTTTGTTTTCAACAATTAAAGCATTCTAATAATACCAATGGTAGTCACATTTTCAACCTATCTACTTAGTCTAACGTATATCCAACAATGGCAGCCCAAACTAATAGCATCACTATGTTTATTAAAATATATTACTTTAAACCTACCAAACGTATCTATTAACCAAAGTAATGGTTTTAGAAAACTTACATGATACCTAGCAGCTTTGGGGTAACTGAACTGAGGAGGATCGGTAGGCGGGTCGTACGAACCGTGATCGAACTTCCGGTTCGTGCAGTGAGTACGCTCAAACACCTTAGTAGCAGTCGGCTCATGACCCATTACTTTTGCCTACATTAGACAATTAGATTAAGTTGTTAGTAAACATAAAGAACAAATTACATTTTCAGAAAAGATTATATACTCACCATTTTGTCTCTGTTGTATAATCTAATCTTTGTTTGTATCCCTATGTATGTTTTTAAAGATTATATACTCACCATCTTATCTCGATTTCCTATTCCACACACCACCAAGTCATCTTTGTTTGTATGTTTTTTTGTTCTTAGTGCTGATTGACACAGAGCCACTGATTTCTAATTAAAGAGGAGAAGACACCAAAGGTGACCATTGATACGTCTAAATCTTTTTTCTATTGAAATTTGCAGCAAATTTTTCGGTTCAACTTACGCTGGAAGATGTTTATTGCTCTAATAGTCGTATGTGCTGCTTTTCTAGCTCTTCAGATCATTAAGGCATGCAATTTTTACATCTTTAGCATCTCCGTCCTATAATTAGCGTTTATTTTTTTTACCTTCCAAAGTCAAACATATTTGTTTTAATTTCAAAATCGATAAAGATTGTCATATTTATATCTTTGTGCAGAATAGGTTAGTAGCATCACTACAACAAAAACAAGTTTACAGGACACTTTTCAAGACCCGTCCTTTAAAAAGGGCTAATACAACACATTATTTTATGAGTCCTATTTGATTTAATTTAATAGAACTCTTATTTTTTATGTCTTATTAAGTTCTCTTAGTGTCCTATCATGTAAGTCTAATACGACACTTTCAATATCACATTATTTTAGAGTCTAATAAGACACTTTTCAAATGTTGTATTATTTAAAAAACTAATAGGACATTTTAAAATGTCATATTATTTTAGAAATTAATAGGACATTTTTAACTGTCATATTAATTTTAAAAGTTAATAAGACATTTTTTATTGTTGTATTAGTATTTAAAAGCTAATAGGACACTTTTAAGTATCCTATTAAGGTTTTAAATAATATAAATAACATATTATATTTAGAACCATTTTTAACATCAAATCTAAATCGAAATGTGAAAAAGCCTGTTAATATATAATGATTTACCTGATCATCCCATTTTATTAAACCTAACTTATCAGCCCATTTTATTAAGGGGGTGTTTGGGATTGACTATTTAGAGGGCTTTTTGACTTATTTCAGTCTGGTATCGGTGATAAACTATTCTTAGTGTTTGGATTGAAAAAAAGAAAAACTGTTTATACCAGTGCAAAACCGGTAATAAGCAGTTTTTGATAAGTTAGTCCATTCTGACTTATCAAAATCAACTTTTATCGGTTTACCATTTTAACCCTCTTAATATCTTTTATATCTTATCTCTCTTTGTTGGGTATATCCGGTGAGTTGTATTGATTGGGTTTTTTTTGTTTTTGTTTATTTGGATCAGATTTATTATTTTTGTCATAAATTATTAATAGTATTGGTACAAATATTTGTTAATTACGTTAGTTTTTTGGTTATAAATTATTAATTTTATTGATATAAATTTTTGTTAAAAATGTTATTATAAATGATGAAAAATAAAGTTTTACATGTTAAAAAATCAAATAAGTTAATAAGCAATCCCAAACACTTTCATAAGTCAATAATATAAAACACTGTCTTTTTTAATCATTTTACATACATAAATAAAATTTACCAAACACTAAAAAACAACTTATCAACTTATTACTTTTTAATACTGCTATAAACTAATCCAAAACACTTTCTACAAAACTTCATAAATAAGTTAATAATCACTTATAACCAAAAGCATAAGTTATCCCCTAAACCCACATACGTTCACCATTTCCCCTTCATCACAGACTCCCTGGACGAAGCTACGATCGCGCTGTACTCCCCTGTACCTACTCACAAAGCTACGATCGGCACTCCCTGGACCTACTTACGAAGCTACAATCGGTAATTTTGAAAGAACTCACTACTTGATCGACTTTCCCTCTCCCTCACTGTTTGCGATCGATCGACTCTACCCTGAGATCGAACCTTCTGCTTATAGGTAACACTTTCATTTTCATTGACTACAATAGATGAATTCAATTAATACATTTTCATGTTCTGAGATCATCCTGTTTGTGTCCTGCCTTCTCTTCGCCTTCAGTTTGTTGGTTTTTCACTGTCAAAGTTTGAGTATTAGCTATTATTAAAAAGAGTAGGAGATAGTAAGATTGTAAACAAAGAGGGAGATAAATGGATCTTTATATATAGCTATTCCTATGCTGCTTAAGATTAGTGAAATAAGCCAGTATTGTGTAGGATCAAGTATAGTTCTTATTCACTGTTTAGGATCAAGTATAGCTATTCCTATCACGATCATTGTAGAACAGGCTACTGAATCCAACAGATTGTACATGAAGATTGAACAAACTACTTAAGGAAGTGTTGTGAGCTATCATAACCACACTTACTTGTCTTCTTTCTCTCTTCCAAGTATCACACTGCCATCAATTCTGCATGCTTCCATACCCTTAAAATAGAAGTGCATTATATCCAAGATCTTAGTCCATTGGGAAAAAATTCTACCTATTTGCCAAAATATAAGTGCAATGAGCCAGAAAGCACACATAGACGGTATTGAAACCTGGCCACAATATCAAAACCATGTAGTGCACAAAATCAGATTATTTCTATGGCACAGGTACGACAACACTACTATAGTATATGCTACTTTAGATTTGTTTTGG